GAATACATGCAAGACAATTTTTGAGGATCCAAATGCCATCTATAAAACATTTTATAAAAATTTTCCCTTAAATTCTGTGCTTGAGTGAACTTGACATTTCTTACCCAAATTTTTTCCCAAGTTTCCAAATTAATTGGTTCTTGAATATTTTGAGCCCATTTAATCATACAATCTTTAACCAATTCCGTTTCCGAATCAAGTTCTATCAAAACACTATATATTCTCCTAATATGGGCTCTGCTTTGATCTTTAATCTGTTTTATCAAGTTCACATCTTCTACCATTAATCCCAACTTTTTATCTATATGCCATCTCTCAACAAGTTGAAGATGTAACAACCAGGACTGGAGAACCTTATCCTGTTTTAACTCCTCCAATGATTTAATTTGCCAGTCCTCCCCTCTTAGTCTAAGTAACTCTCTATAAACAATACCTTGTAATTTTACTCCCCTTACTATACCTTGTATTGCATGTTCCGGAATAGCCCACATAGGGATTTTAAAATTTAACTTATGCAAATACTTCTTCCAAACTCTCAGAAGTGCAATCCTTAACATATGAGATTTAAAAGCCCGATCAATTTTCTTATCAAAGAATAAGTAAGCATGCCATCCATAATATAAATCCCAACCCTGATTAAAATTATTTTAATCAGAGCAGAATCACAACATAAAATTAGACTGTGACCATCAAAGATGAAGAAAAGCAAATTCTATGTTTGTTCTTTGAATTGTGTCAATTTGATGAGACGTAAACATTGTAAAAACTCCTGTTTGATAAATAATAGGAAACAGGAAGGTCCCATTTTAATCTTACCTGTGTCACAAACTCAATAGATGTGTGCAGACAAATCAACATCAACAATCCCAGCACCTCCATATATAATATGAGAAAAATAGTATTATTTATCTTAACCTGTTACAATTACAGTATAGCACTTGGATATTTTTCTGTGTTAAGAATTGTTAACTTGTCCACTTTAATATAAAGCAGGATGTATTCTCAGTGTTGATTAAAAACCATTTTTGTTTTGAGAAATCTATGTGTATTTCAAAGTTACTCTGGTTTTAGATACATTTGGATATATATCTAAATATTATCTTGAGTTTGGTGCACCCTGTCGGACCAAATATGGGAGAAAGGAATATTTCCAAATTTTGAAAAAAATATCTAAATATATATATTTAGATATATTGTAGCTAAAGATGATTAACATTTACTGATTTGTTAATTTAGCTAGCTTTTGGCAGATAATTTTTAGAATGGGTTGGGTAATACAGTTATCTCAAGTTCCTTTCTCAGTGTCTTTGTGATTCTCTCTATCTTTCCCCTTGTCAAAACAGCACAATGCTCCAATTCCCCAAGGTGGACGGGGTGCAATTCAGTTTGTGACTCAATATCAACATTCAAGCGGACAAAAGCGTATTAGAGTAACCACAATTGCCAGAAAGTAAGCATTAATTTTTGATATAGTATTCCAGATATCTGAATGATATGTACATTAGTTAATAGTATTCAATGGGGAAGTGATGCTTTGATAGACAAGTTGAAACCTTGCATCTAGGTTGCAATATTAAACCAAATTTATACGCTTGAGAAGTTAGTTTTTTTATAGAACAGAGTTTGTTGGGGGAAGAGAGAGAGTGAGCGCAAACACATTGTAAAACAATTGTTCAGAATTCATTTTGAATCAGACATGTATACAAATTGTTTAGCAAAATACAAATCCACAAGATTGGGGCATACAAGCTCTCTGTATAGAATTATACAAATTAGAATGTTCATGTGATTGTAGCACCAAAACATTTGCTTAGATAGTGAGGTTAATGAGCTAGCATTTAACTATGAGATAATCAGGTAGGACTACAAAGCAATAGTAGTTTTATAAAGACAGTATTTCATGAATATAATTTCCTTCTAGAGAGTTCTTGTTATGGTTTTTATCAAAGTATACCTCATTCCTCTTTTTTTTTTTTTCAATATAAAATTTTATTATTTTTTCATCATAAAAAAAATCACAAATACTACACAATGCTATATAACCCCCCCCCCGGACTTCCCAAACCTAATCCCAGGATAATATTCAAATATAAGTAAACAAATATTAGTATCTCTAACTCCACAAAGTATATTATTCTATATGAGTAGGTAAAATATATAAAAGAAAAGAAAAAATTTTCTAAAAACCTAAATTATATTCCACCACTCTATGCTTCTTTTGAATATAAACAATCCATCTTCTCCATATTAATAAAAATTGTTCATTTGAGTAATTCTTCAAATAAGCCGAGATCTTTGCCATCTCAGCAAGGTACGAAACTTTCAATCTCCAGTCTTCCATTGTAGGTAAAATTTTACTCTTCCAATTTTGAGCTATCAGCAAACGGGCAGCAGTTAAGCAATATAACATCAGATTCGTTTCTTTTACATCCAAATTTTGTGTAATACCTAGGAGAAACAACTGAGGCGAGAAAGTAATTCTTCTTTTAAAAATTTGCTGTAAGTTCCACCACAATTTTATCCAAAAAGCCTTAATAACCTTGCAAGTCCANTGGGCCCATTTAATCATACAGTCTTTGACTAGCTCAGTTTCTGAATCCAATTCTAATAAAACATTATATATCCTTCTAATGTGTCCTTTAGCACCGTCCCTTACTTGTTTCAAAAAATTCCCATCTTCCATAGAAAAAATAGTCTTTTTATCAGTTCGCCATCTATCTTGAATTTGTCTATACAAAAGCCAAGAAAAATTTGGGTTTTTCTGTTTCAAAACTTCTATTGATTTCAGGCACCAGTTACCACTACCAGTCTGGTATAACAAGTCTCTATATGAAGGCGCCTCCATCACCACACATCTAGGTATAGTCAAAAAAATATGTGATGGTATCACCCAGATTGGAAGCTTAACATCAAACTTAAAAAAATACTTTTGCCAAACTCTTAACAAAGCAGCCCTTATTATGTGATTTCTAAAAGTTTTATCTATCTTTTTCTGCATGAAAAGATAAGCATGCCACCCAAAGTACAAGTCCCATCCTTCAACGTTCAATATCCTTTTGTTGGACAAGTTAATCCAATCCGTCATCCATGTTAATGCACAAGAGTCATAATATAGTGTCAAATTTGGAGCTTTAAGTCCTCCACGTTCTCTAATGTCTTGGATAATCTTAAATCTAACCCTGGCTTTCTTGCCTTCCCAAATAAAGCGATTCAGATCTCTTTGCCATTCTTTCAAGTTAAGTTCATTTTTTAGAATAGGTATCATCTGAAATAGAAAAAGAAACTTAGGTAAAATGTTCATTTTAATGGCCGCAATACGACCCAGCAAAGAAAACTGTAGTTTTTTCCATATTAATAAATCCTTTTGTACTAGTTTCCACAATCTTTCGTAGTTATTCTGATACAGTTTCATGTTAGAGGATGACAAAAAAATTCCCAGATATTTAACTTTATTAACCACTTCGAATCCTGATATTTGCGTAAGTTGATCTTTGGCCTCATTCCTCTTAAGTCTACTTCCTGGAATCTTTTTCTAGTTTATCAGCATTCTTTGACTTTGCAAATGTTTTGTGGTTTTGCTGTTTATTTTTCTCTGTAAAAGTATATTTGAAGAGTGGTATATATATTTATCTACCCTAGTGCCATATTTTTCTCCTTCAATATACATTTGTGGATTGTTTTTAATTATAAAAGAGTAGAATTCAAATTTCATAAAACAAATATAAGTGTTTCTGCTGAAATTGTAAAGCTTGATAACATTTTATTTAAAATAGCAACATTTTGCTTGCAGTACAGATCTAATATGCATTTGGAATCCTGCCAAACTGCCCATGTGAATTAGGAAGGGTTTTTCCTACATTGGATTCTAATTTGTCTTATTTTGGTGGGTAATACTTAGAATTATCAATATTGATCATGTAATAGACATAAATAAATAAATACTGGCTATTACGTAGAAAGTGAAGTTGGATAAGGAATTAAAAAAACTGAATTACTTTTTTTGTGCAAAAAATATACTTTAGGATAAAAATCATGAGTTTTGCTGGGACAAGTTTTGTTGCTAGTACAGTATGCAATAATCCACATCTGGTACCACTTTCTTCTGGGAAGTATTAATTGGTGGTGGTTCTGCAAAGAATGCTCTGCTATATTGTTAAAAATGAATATGAAGAAAAGTTCAAATTTGTTCAAGGCACAAAATTATAAAATGCTCTTTCTGCTGCTATTTCGCTAAAGTTGTGATAAAATAGTTGTGTTTTTTTTTTTTCATTTCGCAGCTGGGCAGATGCTCAGACACAGATTCAAAACATTGCAGCTTCTTTTGACCAGGAAGCAGCTGCTATCCTTATGGCAAGATTAGCAGTCTACAGAGCTGAGACTGAAGAAGGACCTGATGTGCTTAGGTGGTTGGACAGACAGCTTATCAGATTGGTAAGGCATTCAAAATGTTTTAGAAACTGTTTCCTTTCAAGGGTGAGGCCTCTTCAGAGATGTTTATCCTGAGCTTACACTTAGGAAGAGTTATTGTTCTATATTTCTTTCTCAACCGTTTGTTTTCATTATTGTAGATAGAAAAGAACAATTAAGATTCTATGTTTAAATATTGGCACCATGGCAGTGATCTTGTATGATTAAGTATTGCTAACTACTTCAAAAATCTCTGTAGAAATCAGAGAATTAGTAGAGCTTCTTTTGGGCAGAGTAACAATTCGGAAAGCCTTTCTGAATATTCATGGATAATAAAAGTTTTTAGCCCACTTTTAGTTGATTAAACAATTCCTGTAACAGGAGTTTTCAGAGGTAAATATTGAGCTGGATCCAGATCTTCTGTAAGCAGAGGCTGGCTGCAGACACAGAGCCTTTCTGCTCCTGAATAATTGGCTAGGAGGTAGTTTTTATTATTCCTTTCTTACCCATAATCTATTTTAGGGCATGGAACCCCTTTAGAACACTATAGAACACTAATGGAGAATTAACAAAAATCACCCCCCCCTTTTTTTTTTCTTTGATTGCTGAATCAGAGATTTCTGCCTAGAGCTTTTCTTGGGCTATGGACAGAATGGTTTCTTTGAATTCAGTCTATTGAGATTAGGCTAGTGTATATGCTAATAATGCTAATAATATTTAATGATATGTAAAAAGCAGTGTTTTGTTATTGTTAATCCTTTGCTCATTTGTATTTAAGCATGAAATAGTTCTCAAATAGTAAAATATCTTTTTAAGAACAAGTAGGTTCTGCACATACTAACAATCCAATTTAATATGCTATTTATAAAATGGCAGTTGCATTAACAATGACTTTAAATAGCTTTTGTGAGTCCAGTGGATTATGATCCTACTAAGGAAGTAGGTATTTTTTGTTCTAGCTCATGTCCAAACTGAGGCTCTCATTTTGGTCATTTGCCAGCAGAAAAATTCCCACACTATGAAGCAGCTTCTGAATTGGATCTTCTGTTAGCGTCTGTTACTTATTTATAAGGAATATGCTGACTGCCACCTGCAATACTCTTTCCTAAAGTTGTGCTTTTGAATTTCTTTTAGAACTTATCATGTCCCTCTGCTAGGTCTGATGCAAATCCAGTGCTTTAAAAATACTAAAACCATAGTTGGGAACAATAAACACCTGAAAATCTGCTCACTGGGTGATGAAAAATATTAGGAAAATTGACACTTGGTTTTTAACCTGACATATTTTGTATAATGACATGTTAATGTAAGAAATATTTATTTGAAGTTAATTGCTACTCGTATAATTTTTATATTAACAGAGTTTCTCTCCAAATATGTAAGTTGTCATAGTTTTTCTCAATTGCTGCATCGTTCAAGTAACATTTTATTGTCTGGAAATCATAGTTGTGAACATAATGGAGAGCAAAAAAGTAGCATAAAAATAGAGAAACTATTTAGAGATATTCCTGACTATTAAAGTTGATGGAACTTTTGTCAGTAATATTAATGGATACAGAATGACTCAAGCCTTAATACTTTTCTGAAATCTGGTTTTCAGACTTTTAGAGGAAAATATAGTATGTATTATTTTACAACATAATAATATTAAAAATGCCATACTGAACACATTGACTTTGTTTTTAAATCTCCCAGTGCCAGAAATTTGGAGAATATCATAAAGATGACCCAAATTCCTTCAGATTTTCAGAAACTTTCTCCCTTTACCCACAGGTGAGTAAGAATAAAGCATGATTAAAGTCTGACAGAAACATGTGAACGCAGAGTAGTGTACCTTATGACAGATTAGGAGTGAAATACAATAGATAAAGTGGAAAATTATTGTAACCTACATCTTGGAGATTTTGAGGCAAGCAACTCAGTTAATGGAAGTGGAAGTACCTGTCTCTAGTTTTCTGTAAAAACGTTAGAGATGAGAAAGGCAAGGATTTAAAAAAATTGATAGAGGCAACCATGAGCAGTTCTGGAAGGGGCAAAACAGTAGGTTGCTTTCAGCTTTATGACATTTCAGTAAAACTGGGTGCTGCATATTTTGTGCATGACTTTTTTTTTGGTAATGGGATCTAAACCTCTGTGGAGAGGTTGCAGTTATTATACAATAGAAATTGGAGTCTTAGCAATCAGACTGGAAAAGCAAAGCTGTTTTATTCTCCTAAAGCAGGGGTGTCAAACTGCCGGCCGGTTGCATCATACAGAGACCGTGCCCACCCCAGTTCCAGCAATGCAAAAAAAGTCGCAAATTTGACACCCATGTCCTAAAGAATATTACTTGCAACTTTGTATGATATTTTTGGAAACTGCTTGATTTCATCATGAACTAAAAGATTCATTAAGTTTAAAAGTTTGAGTATAAGATCTACATACTCAGAAGTATTATATGCATTAATCTATACTGTAGCTGTTTCAAGAGGGGAATCCAAAAATATTTCTCATTCAGATAATATTAGTGTGCTGATCTGAATTTGATGCACAATTAGCTTAAACATTTGCTATAATAGAGTTAAGTTGGACTTGTTTTCTTTTGCAGTTTATGTTCCATTTAAGAAGATCTCCTTTCTTACAAGTCTTCAATAACAGTCCCGATGAAAGTTCTTATTATCGTCATCACTTCATGCGTCAAGATCTGACTCAGTCACTTATAATGATTCAACCAATTCTTTATGCCTATTCTTTTAATGGACCTCCAGAGGTATAGCACATAGGGAAAAAAAATCCAAGAAAACATATTTTGCTTCATCCTATTTTTTTTTGCATATGCTATTTGAAATATATGTTAAGCAGATCAAATAGGTTCAGCATCAAAAATATGAAAGTAAACAATTGAATATGTCTTAATTTGTCACAAAAAATGCTAGACTCAACATTGATTGACAGCAACTGAAAATGGAATCCTTTTTGTTTGGAATAGTGATTTCTAATTACTATCTTCCTCTTCCCAAACTTAATTTTGCACAACGCAAAAGTGGGAAAATTCTTTATTGAAGATTGCTTTTTAATCATGTGCTAAATACCATCAGATTCAATACTTGCCTTGGCCTGGAATTGCTTTTGGATGCTGTTCCCAAAATTGCATAGAGGAGCATACTGCTCCGTGTTTTCTGAAGGGAAGATCAGGAATTGCCACCAGGTAGTATTGGCTGGCAAAAACTAAAATTACCCAGAGTTTCCTTGGAGTGGGATGGCATTTAAATGTAATACAATAAATAAATAAGCTTCGGGATGAGAGTTCACTGCTTTTTCCATACACTTTTAAAATCACTTTTTTAAAAAAAAAAAATCTTATATATATAATGAATCAAGGGAGATCAGGGATCAGGGGATCCTAAAACATGGAATCATGCACTTCATTATTTTTTTATTATTATTATTATTATTATTATTATTATTATTATTATTATTATTATTATTATTATTATTATTATTATTATTATTATGTTTTATTATACATTTTTGAAACATGCTTATAAGATTCATGTTTAAGCTATAATTAAACAAAATAAGAATGCATTATAAATATTACTTTATTTCTTAACTAATTGGCACAAAACTGTCTTTGAATCTTTTTGATGGTTTCGAGCATATTTAATGAATTGTGTTTTCTCTTTATATTAGCCTGTTCTTTTAGACAGCAGCAGTATTCTGCCTGATCGCATACTTCTCATGGACACTTTTTTCCAAATTCTTATTTATCATGGCGAGGTAAGAGGAAATCATTTTTGTTTTCATTACAAAAGTCTTTGAGTAGTAATTACAGCCAATATAAATGTTGCTATTATTGAAATGGTACTCAGTCTCTGAGAAAATTTACCATATAGTCTGGGGAAAAAGTAGATCTGAAATCAGCAATGGGCAGGTTCAGAGCCAGAAGTGATCTTTACAGAAGTGATCATTATCACTTTTTTTTCCTTTTCTTTTCCCTGCTATATCTCTATTCACCTCTGTGTGGAAGGGACAGATAGACATATATGCTGTACAATATAATATTGTAACACGTTCCATAAATGGTTACATATGAAGATTCTTTTTTGTCATTATTTTTTCCTTTCTTTGCACTTTTATCTTGGTTTTTGTCTGATTCTTTTTTTTTTTTACTTTTTTTTACCTTTTACTTTTAATGTTAATTTTTATTCATTTTTAAATTTAATAAAAATCATATTAAAAAGAGATTTTGACAACTGATAAAAAGTGCTATCTAGTATAGTAGTAAAAATCTACTACTAATAAGTTATATATTTTTTAAAGTTTTGATCAATTTGAATTAACACATGGCATGCATGGAACTAAGTAGGCACATGGCATGCATGGAACTTAGTAGGTAATTTATGACATAAATGTATTTAAGATACATGAATATTAAATAATTGTTGAGTTAAAATTAATCAATAGATAATCTATTGTGGTATTATCCTCAATGTACTCTTTCAGTGTTTGTATTTGATTTGTAGTTGTTATTTAATTGTTTTAATCCTGTTGCCCAAGTCCCTTTAGAGTTGCCTTGTAATTGAGGCAGTATATGAATAATTGAACAACAATAATAATAATAATAGTAATAATAATAGTAGTAATAATAATAGCAAAAATAATTTTAATTGATTTACCTTGATCTAGCAATCTCACTATTAAATGATTTATATTAAATTTTCACTAAGCAGTTAATGTTGAATTATTGTCTCTAGACTATAGCTCAGTGGCGCAAATCAGGCTACCAGGATATGCCAGAATATGAAAACTTTCGTCATTTGCTCCAAGCTCCATTTGATGATGCACAAGAAATTCTTCATTCAAGATTTCCAATGCCACGATACATTGATACTGAACATGGGGGTAGTCAAGTAAGTTACTTTGATTTCTACTTGGGGGATTATCTGATAAATAAAAACCAGATTATTTTGGTAGAGTTCTTTGGTAAGCTTTATTTCATATAATTAAAGGGAGCATGTATTATCCTGCATGTTGAGCTTGGGAGGGGCACTCTTTTGTATAATCAAAACATACAAACAATAGCCTTATTCCCAGTTGGGAACCACTTATAGAACACCAGATAGATACTTTAATTTCTGTCATGCTTTCTCCAGTGCAGTATTGGAATGATGTGAAATCTTTAATGTATTGAATTAGCACATTGTTGCTCAAAGATGTGCTATTTGGTTGTTAAAGAAAAACATCATTGTTTGGGGGTGTGCAGCTCTTTTGATATACATTAGTACTTAAGAGTAGTATATTTATATACATAATAGGTAGAAAACTGTTAATACTAGTATGCATTGATCTTGTTTTTTGATGCATAAGGCATTATGTAGATGAGGGCACAATGTATCAAAAGACTCACAGATTGTCACAAAGTCTCATACAAATGCTATGAGAAATGACCTTGTTATAGGAATCTGATAGGTGTACATGGTGTGATTGAAACAATTTTAACTGTTATTTAATAAAATAATGTTTTTCTTTATTTCTTTCAAGGCCCGTTTTCTACTTTCTAAAGTAAATCCATCTCAAACACATAATAATATGTATGCTTGGGGACAGGTGAGTTTAAGCATGATTAATCAAACTGCATAGATTAACTAAAATTATATTATTTCCTGTATTAACCTTTCTGAGCATCTTCTTCAAATTAAGGACTAACCATAGATACTAAGATCGAGTAGTAAATTAATTACTTATTAAATTAAGAAATTATTGTATTAGTTTTTTCTAGAATCACATACATTTTTGATAGAAAGTCTTCTTTGAGACTTTTTAAATAGGGCAAATCTTCAAAGTCCTTAAGGAAGTGTACATTTTTAAAAACCTGCTTTTCCCCCATCATTTTTTGATAAAAGTATATTGCATATATGTACTGAAAAATAGATCAATAGTTTTATTGTACTATAGATTATTATTCTAGTAGATACAGAGGGTCAAAAACCTGACTCACTTTTTTAGAAGATAGATTCGTGAAATGAAAGTACAACATGCTCATGAACTAAACTGCAAAGCAAATGTGAGGTCTGAATCCAAGATACACAGCATCTGTTTTCAAATAATTTTCTATTCTTACATGTATTTTGCAAAAGGCAAACCTTTATATTTTGAGACAATTATTTTGATGGGGAAACTAAATATGAAGTGTAAAGCATAACACCAGAAACTTCCAGCAACAGATGTCTGTACCACAGAGCACAAAAGATGTCCATTCATTGATGGCAATGGTTAAGTTTAAAGGAATGGAACCCTGAGGCTAGGACACATTCTTAGAAATAAGGATGTTGCTGTAAATCAATGTTTGTTTTGCACGATGCTCGCCTCACAATATTTTTAAATCTATAAAAAATGACCAGGAGGGGCAGCATTCCTGACAGGTCCACATGTTTGAAGGAAGAGTAATTGCACATAGGCAACCCAACTGGGGACTCCCATTTTTCACAGCTTCTTTTGATTCCTTATAATAAATTTATGTGACACAAAAGGCTTTCTTATTTATGAGGAAAATGTATATAGCTGCCCATCTACTAAAAGGAACACTGAGTGGTGAACAGAATAAAAAATACATTACATTAAAAACCACAATTTAAAACAATAAACCGGTTAAGGTCCGAGTAAAACTTACATCCATTCACCTGGCTCCTATGCCTGGGGGAAAAGCCAGATACGCACTGCTTTTCTGAAGGCCAACAAGGCCAGGACTGTCTGAATCTCTGGGGGGAGGCTACCGTATATCATAAGGCAGGCACTCTGACAGAGAAGGCTGCTAACATCTTCCATTCTGCAATAGGAATCTGGAGCACCAATTCTTACAGATGATGTCAGTCTGCAAGTCTTCATGGATCATTTGAAGAAACTAGCTGTATCAAGTGCTGCTTGAAAAAAACGTGGAATTTCAGACACACTGACAAGTTGAAACATTTTCTCTTTATTATTCTTTGTATGTAATTGTAAAACTGAATGCCCAAGCTGCCTAACTACATCTTACAACAATGTAATTTTCAAGAGAGAGTGTTTATTATCAAAGGCCTAAGAACAAACATAGTTTTAAAAAAATAAATGAAATAGGAATATTGAGAGAAGACTTTTAGGTTGCCTTAGCCCATTGATACTAGCTTTTTAAAAATATTCTAATGGTGGAAAGTATTCTGGTTTGCACTGCAAAAATATGGCATAAATCATGCTTATTCCTTTTCACTAGCAGAACAAAGAAATTGATAAAATACTACAAATCCAACTTGGTAATATCTGAAAATATTTATTTTCTCTGTTTAGCTATACATGGATGTTTTAGTAGTTTTGTTTTTCACTGTTTGGTAGATAAATTGTTTCTAAATGAAGAAACCAAGCAAACAGATTGAAAAAAAAAATGTTATCCAGTTGTTATCCAGATCTTACATTTTGATAGTCTTCTAGTGTTCTGTATCAATCTTGCTACAATTATTCAAACACTATAAAACTGAGTGGGTTCAAGAAATGCAAATTAATATTCAAATGTCTTTGCAGGAGAATACAGAAATTGTACTATAAATAAAAAAAACATTGTTATCTGTTTCCCAAATATACTTTCTTGTTATAATCATGTAACAGTATAAATTTGTGTGGTTTTGTGCTATGATCTCTTTCTGTTTTGCTATTAAATTATATAGGTAGCAATTCTTTTCAAAACAGTATTATACACTACACGCCATGATTGCTACAAATCTGATAATATTTAACTCTGTTTTTTTAGAAAATCTATATTTACACACATATACATATCTTTAATAAAGTTTTTCCATTTGAATACAGATTGGCTTGTTGAAACTATTTCTATACTTGAAAAATGACTTGATAAAGGAACAAAGATATTTTTAAACATAGATACCAAGACATATCCTGTGGCCTTGCAAGCTATATTATAATGCATGAGCTCCTTGACCCTCAAAAGAACTTGAGCCTAAGGAGGAGTTTGACAATACATTTCAAGAAACAATCTCCTTAGCAACCTTGACTTAAGCATCCTTCATTTTAACTCTAGCAGAAAGAGGGCATTTGTAGTTTGATTGTGAAAGGACAACTTTGCTTGACGGTTCCTCATTTTAGTTGATCCTATAAGAACTGTTATTTGAGTTTTTTCCCCCCAGAATGTAAGGGTGCAGGCCCAAGCTATGCTTTTTACCCTGTTGAAAAGTAGGGTAAAATGTTTCAAATATTAGATGAAGCAAACTGTGCTTCATTCTTATAGGTTGAAGTTAATAAGTGAATATCAATACTCAAGTTAATGTATTGTCAGGTCTTTAATGAGGGTAAAAAGAGTCTTCGTAAATCAGCCAAAAATTCTGTCTAGCTGAGCATTCGTTTTTCCCATCTATGTGAAGTCCATAAAAACCTGAGAATGAATGCATGGATCTTAGGAACAACTTCTGTGATTCCAATATCACAAAAAGGAGACTCATTTTTACTGATTTAACTACCACAATTTCTGGATTACTTTATACCAGTTTAGGATGTGAGATTACTTTTTTTTAGTTAAGTTTTCACATAATTTAAACCAAGTTTTATTTTAAAGGTAGTTTGTTTGAATGAATTCCACCTATTTTATTGAAATCCCAAAAATACTTTTTTCATGAGGCAACTGGACTTTCTTGTGAATTGTTTATGGAAACAATTTACACTTTTGCAGTTGGGTTATGAATATTGGCATATTTTATTTATGGTTTGTATCTGAATCCAGAATCCTCTCCTGTTCCTGGTTTTCTATCCCCAACACACCTTTTGCTAATTCACAGATATATACAGTAAAGTTTATCCACAAAACATAGGCAAAAAAGCCCCTTATCTAACATAAAATACTACGAATATGCATGCAAATTTGCGATTCTTTGGTTAGGATCTTTGAGATGTCATCAGTAACAACAATTGATAGCAATCATACTAAACCCACAATCATTTTGCTGATATAGATTCTGGTTTGTTGAATAAAGTATATTTAAGATAACTTTGGTGTAAAGTTATTTGCATATATAGCCAATGTATTATTTTAATTTTGATTCCCTTTTAATATATCTGCTATTTTAGTGCTCATTTCTCATGATACAGAGACTTTTTCCAGTACTTCACCATCCCTTTCAGTTTTACCCACTCTAAATAATTTGGAGCCATCTCCTAACAGCAAGTTTTCTGTTAATGGATAGGATGACTCTTCACAGCTGGACTGGGAGTGTTGACAGAAGAGGCTGTGGTGTGCTGACCTTGGGTGGTAGCAAGTTGAATTCCTATCCAAGACTGTAGCTGCCTGAATGCTGTGCAGAGTGTCTTAGAGCCCATTATTCTCCCCACTCCTATTTTACATTTGGGAAAGGTCATTTGGGAGGCATAGTCAGGTATTAGCCATAAGCAGATGATCTATCTCAATCCATGATTGATCAAACAAGGTTCTGTCCTGGTGCCTGGAGGTTTTTAGAGTTTGGAACGGGTGGAACAGACTTGGACTCAGACTGAATGTCTGTGGGTTTAATAAGCTTCTGTTTCCAGGGATTTTCCAAAATTAATTACTGATGGGATTCTACTATCTCGAACAGAATTTGTATATAATTTTGGTGTTCTGGATTTTCTGTTCTTGCTTAATAAGCAAATGGCAACTGTGCCAGGGGGCCTTTGCTCAGTTACGTTTGGCGCTCTGATTATGCCTTCTAGATTGGGAAATCTGTTTATGCCTAAATCATTTTGTTTGGACTAATGTATTCTTGATGATTATCTGGGAGCTACAGCTGGTCTAAAATGAAGCTGTACAATGAGTAATGAGAATGTGTCATTTTGCTACATCTCTATTTTACAAGCTGCACTGGTTACTAATTAGCTTTCAGATGTAATTCAAGATGTTGATTGTCATTTATAAAACCCTTCATAGCTTGGGCCTTAGGTACCTAAGAGAATCCCTTTTCTGTTTGTTTCTGCTTATCTGGTAAGATCTCACAAGGTCAGCATGCTCCAGGTCCCATGAGCAAAGCAGTGCCATTTTACAACTCCCCAGAGACATGGTTGCTCCTGTCTCCTGAAGTCTGCATGGCTCAAACTCAGTTGCCCTTTAGACCCTTGACAACTGGGCTTTTTACCTAGTCCTGAAGCAGGATTTTGTGACTTAAATGGTGATAAGTATGTTCTGTATCATTTTTATTGGTTTTCCCCACTTCAGATGTTTATTATCTCCTTCCAACTGGATTTTTTTGCATGTGGATTTTAATACAGTTACATTGTTTTATGCTGCCTAGAGTTGTTTCAGTGATTGAGGCAGCTAATATTGTTTAAATAGACAGTTTGGTAAACACTTTCCCTTGAGTCCAAATCAATCAAAACCAATTAAAATGCATAACTATGGATTATTCTAGTGCTTACATCCCTTCTGTTTATTAAGGTTGTGCAAAACTTTTGAAAGAGGTGCTTTATTCTGTGGCTTTACTTTTGTTTGGGTAACAGACCTAGACAGGTTAAAGTACTGGGGATTTCTGAAAGCTTCCCAGACTTTCCAAAACATGCATCTGCTTTTATATTTTGCGAAGGAATACTATTCCCACAGTAACATGTTTTTTCAAGGAATTTCTTTTGGGTGTTTTCCACAACCGCACTATGCATTGATTCTGAATCTTTGCTTCTTATTCTAGGACAGTTTTTTAGAAGGAGATCTTTTTTTATTCCATTAATTCTGGAAGAATTAGCAAGCAACATTTTTTTTGTATGCCTTATATCATTTGACAACTCAGTTTATTTAACCATGGTTACTGAATAATCCACAGACACTGTATTAACAATTATATACCATTATTTACATACCACATACTTAGCCCCAATGCATCAATTGTAGCTTGGTAAAATGTGTGAATGAAGTCACAATTAGTGCAAAAGCTTATTTAGCCCCAGTTATCACCTGCTCCACAAGTAGGACCGTGAGCCTGCAAGGACCCCCAAATTATGTACCTTCTCAGATGGGGAGTGCCATCCCATCCAGAATCAAAGATGACATATCACCTGGGTGTGGACGGCGATCAAAGATGCAGAACCACTCCATCTTGCCAGGGTTGAGCTGGAGTTGACTTCTCCTCATCAGATCCTTACCACCTCTAGATACTTGGTCAGCCCCAGAACATCACATGCCCAGCAAGTGGCACAGGTGTACAGTTGGTTATCATTAGTGTATTGAAGATCTCATATTTGGTGATATCTGGAGCAGGGCCCCGAGTGGCCATCAGAAATTCATGCATAACAACTAGCCACACCCTGTCTTGTAATGGGTAAATGTACTTCTGATTCTACTTGGCTACTTACATGGTTCAAGTTAAAAAAAAGCAGATTTTTTTATAGCAGGTGCAAATAATTTTGGAGGAATTTATTAATAGCAGACAGCAAATGCAGAAAACAGCTAGGGAGATGTTTGGATTGTAGATTTACAAATGAATTAAAGGACAATTACAGAAAAATAAGGAGACCATGGAGAGATAGACTGTTTCTTTTTGGTCTGCAAAAACATGTAAAAGAGATTCCTATCTCTAAAATGTAATATACTCTTTGTAGACCTCAACTATCTTGAAGATAACTCTGATGCAGAGGGCAGCAGCCAGATTTGGCAGTAGATGATAGATTATAGCACTGATCTTGCTACTAATACACTAGTTGTCAAGATACTTTCAGGTCAAATTCAAATTGCTAGTCATTGCCTATAAAGTCCCCTATGGCATGATGCCAGGTTACATTAGAAACTCCTGGATTCAAAATAATTCTGTACATTCAGTAAGATGATCTAGAAAAGGTCTATTTAAGGATCTTCCCCAAGACAAGTGGGAAGATCAGGCATTGAGCGTTCTCACCAGTTGCCCCAGTGCTGAGAAATGCACTGCCTAATGAAGTATGGATAGTTTTTTGCTTTGAAAACAGTGAAGGCATCTTTTAAAGTGGGCATTTGACACAGAATCCAGTGGTGACTACACAGTTATTATAGTTTATGTTTTGCTGCAATTTTTATATTGCAATTGGCTGGGTTAATTTTTCTGGGAAGTTAAGTGATAGTAGATAGGAACTTGTTTAATATTGATATTTTAGATGAAATACCATCCAGCCATTTGAGTGGGCATATAGAGATATCCAAACAAAAAACACACAAGCAAGCAGGAAGGAAGCTGATATTTTCAGGAAGGGACTTTGTAGAAATAAAAAAGCAGTTGGCAAATGTAATTGATAACAAAAAAAATAGAAAACAACAATAAAATAATAATGCCCAAATGCTATCCATTTGAATGGAATTTATTCATTGCTTATTTTGTTACAAAATATGGAACATAACTCTGTGATTAGTTATTTCATCAGACCATTAGTGGCTTATATACCACCAACTTTTAATATTCAGGAGAGATTCAGGAAATATCAGGTTATTTTGTTTACTCGGTGTTCTAGGTAAGTTGGTGGAAAGCATTCTTAAAGAGAAAATTATCAAATTTTATTTAATAAAACAAAATAAAAATATAATTTGATAATTTTTATTTAATTATTCTGTAGATCACTAGGAATGAAATTGAACTAAAATTGACCATGACATATTGTCTTTCTACAAATCTATGATATGCATTTTAGAAATATATATGCAATATTCAATAAAAAGATAAAGTTTTCTTTGAATTGCATTTCATTCCTGATGACTTCTTGTATCACAAAATGGATATTGTAGATCTTTTTTCTGGACTTTTAATCATCTTGTCGGACGGAGAGTTTTTAGAATCTTGAATACTTGTAATCATTTATAAATCATATATAAACTGTTGGTTGAGTTAAAAAACATCATGTTTCAATTTATTATTTTAAAGTGTCTCTTTTTCCATAGTGTTCATTTTCATCAATAAATGTTACATGTTAACTTGTTATGCTTTTATTTTTTTATAGCTAATTTGCATGTTAAAATATGCATTATGGGAATGAAAACTGTAACCTTATGAGTGTATACAATAATATGTTTGTTCTACTTTAATGATAGTAGTTTGAAATAATGATTTAATCAAACAAAACATATTGCAATGAATGGGAAAAAGTTAAAGCTGATTAAGGTAAAACTAACTTTAATTACATTAAGCCTTAATTTACATCTCATTTCCCAGATTATTCACAAAGTATCCACTAATTAGAACTTCATGTAATCATACATGCAGATAATAAGGCCACAAATTAAGATAAGAAATTACAAGCTGAAGAAAATGAGATCCTCAGCACAATAGCACTATGAAACACAGAAGTCTGCTTGAAGGTAAGGAAATTAGAACCAGACTTGAAGCTTTTTTACTTTGCCAAAAAAGATAATAACAACAACAACAACAACAACAACAATAATAATAATAATAATAATAATAATAAGTTGGAAGGGACCTTGGAGGTCTTCTAGTCCAACCCCTGCTCAGGCAGGAAATCCTATACCATTTCAGAAAAATGGGTGTCCAGTCTCTTCTTAAAAACTTCCAGTGTTGGAGCATTCACCGCTTCTGGAGGCAGGTTCTTCCACTGATTAATTGTTCTAATTGTCAGGAAATTTCTCCTTAGTACTAGATTGTATCTCTCTTTGATTAGTTTCCATCTGTTGCTTCTTGTCTTGCCTTCAGGTGCTTTGGAGAATAGCTTGGCAACTCCTGAGATAGTTGAATGAAGAATGACTCGGAAATGTAAACAGTACATGGCATCAGTAAAGTAGTTAAAAATATGTCTTCTGTAGCCTTCCTACCCTCATTGCAATTGCTGTAATCAGGTTTGTGCAATAGTTTAGCTCCACAGTTTAAATTTGGATAACAGCTCTGTTTTATTGCCAGAAAATACATGAAAAGGTGGGGCTTCACAAGTATCTCTATCACAGTAATGTTGATTTTTCCCCCCTCACTGTATTCCCAGATATTTTGCTTGATGTCTTCAGGAATTGTTGCAGTTGAGAAAACAAGCTTCCTCTTGAGATGGGCAATCGTCATGTTGTCT